CGGCGGCGGCTCCTCGCACCAGCCACCCCCGCGGCACCTTCTGATTGTCACCGGGCCGCAGCCAATGGCCAACGCCGCCCGAAGGGTGGCTTCCAATCGGAAGCCGAGGAGGGAAATCGGAGGGCTCGAGCGCCGGGCGGGGAGGACGTCAAGTCCCTGGGAAAGGCAGGGCAGAAGATGCGTCGCGTTTAGCGCTTGCAAAGACGTGGCTGCCTTGACAATGGGAGGCAGGAGGGCGAGAGGCAGCGCACGCCGACCCACAACAACAACAACAACAGCAGCGACAAAACCGGGCTGCCAATAGTCGCAGGGTGTGCGGCATACATGTGCACTGAGGGTTAGCTCCCCTCCATGCAGTGCGTTACCCGCTCCGCGGCGGTTCAGCGACCTGTTTGCTTTCCCTCCGTTAATTCGTAGGCTCCCCTTTCTAGTCATTTCTTTCTGCAAGGTAAATGTTTAACGAGCCCAATTGCTGTCCGCAATGGCCCCATTCTGGCTCATCAATCACGCCTGTCTCCTTCAACCTATTGTTTTACTTGAGCTCTAGCAGCGACGCCATGAACGTCGGTGACCCTGTAACGACCACCCGTCAGATCGGGGCGGGACATTTTTGCCTTTCTGTTCCGCTACCTTTCATACTCCTTTCCCGCGTCCGCCGGGGTATAAATGTCCCGCTCCTGAGACTGTTCTATGCACGGGCCGCAGCCCAGGAAAGTTTGTGTCAGGTAAGAATGGCTAGGCTCAAAGGTAGGGACCACGAGAACCTCAATTGTTTTTTGCTGGAGCAGACTGCCACTAACTACCTCTGCCCATTCCTTCAACTAGGAATGTTTTGGTCGGCTCGAATCCAGTTTTTGATATGGGGAAATGAACATGATGATGGCCTGCCTAGCCCAAGGCCACCAAGGTAATTTATGCCCATCCGGCACCGTATTCATAAACCTGTCAAGTCCGCTTTCACTTGAACAAATGAAGGTTGGATTCTGTCAAAGATCACAGCTGCTTATACTCCTTTTGACTCCTCCGGGGGAATATTCCTTCATTATCTCCTCAATTCTGAATCTCCAACAGATTCATGGAGATTGCTTTTCGGATATTCTTCTGTCCCTGATTACAACTGAATGTGATCAAGATAAAGAGTTTCCCTTTCCACCAAAATGCTTTCCTGCTTTTTGCTCTTGTAAAGATATGAAGTCTGTATTATTATTATTATTATTATTATTTTCATCCCATCCCCTGGTAACTAGAATCAGAAGCAAAGCTGTGTCAGAAGAATCATTTGAATATATTCAATCAGTGGCAAGATTGCTGTGGAGCGGTTTGGTCATTCAGAGAATGGCATAAATCTCATAGGAGATGGGGAAATGTGGTTTCTATCCTAAAACGACTGTTATAAATGAGGATACTAACTATAATGTTTTTAAAATGTTATCTATACATGTTAGGGAAGGGGGGGAAGAGAGATGCCACATTTATTTATTTATTTATTTAGGTTTTCTTAAATTCCCTCTTAAAAGCTGCCCTCCCCACCAAAAAAAGGGGGTGGTGGCTTTGAGACAATGAACAACAGGATATTCCTTCAGCCAAATCAGACCATCCAGGCAAGGAACGGATTACTGTTTTCTCGCCATGCATGCCCACAAAGTTCCTGGAGGTTTTATGTTTATGAGGAAATGAAGGTTAAATAAACTATTCTCTTGGCAGAAAGATACCAGTTGGGAAATAATCCAAACAGCTAGTGTCTTCTGACACTAGCATTTAACAAATAAAAGTAACCAGTACAAATCAATGTTCAGGCTCAGTAACATCAATTCAGAGGCACATTTCTGTGCCTTGAATATTGATGTTGCATGTAGGATGCACTAAATTAACACTGGTGACCGATTCAGAATTGGGAAGGCTGAAATAAAAGAGAGAAAATGAAGTGGGAAGTATCAGATGCAGTCAAAGTAATTAACAGTGCACTGTGTTGAGAAGCAGTATTAACCTTCATGATCTCAATCATCTAAATTTCTCTTAGTCTGAATTTATATCCTTGTATAGAGCTACACTATTGTAACCGTGTTCTTACTGATCCATATTGTAACATGGACATTGTTATTATCTCTTCAGGTAGGCTTTTCCTTAGTGACTAATTGTCTAGTGGGCAATAAATGAGATGGTTTATATTTTGTTGATTTTAAATCTGTTTTAAATGAGATGGTTTATATTTTGTTGCTTTTGAATCTGTTTCAAGTGATGCTTTTACCTAATATATTAAATAAAGTATTATTAATTCTTCTTTATATGTGAATGATTTACTGTTTTTAGCTTTTTATATTATACTTTTAATGATGCATGCCACCTTGGGTCCTTTTTTAGAAGAAGGCCAGGATAACAATATTTTACATACATACATACATACATACATACATACATACATACATACAACATACATACATACATACATACATACATACATACATACATACATACATACATACATACATACATACATACATACATACATACATGAACAATGTGAAAGACATTTAGCTGTTAAGTTAAAATAATAGCTTTTTAAAAAAATAGAGATAATAATTCAGTTCATTTGATGAATTAGGCAAATTTAGAAATTATTAAATTATGTGGTCAATGCAGTATTTGTCATAATGTCTCCCATAGAACTACTGGGATTAAAATGGAAAGAATTGATTGCAGGATTACAGTTATGCGCCATAATCTTATCCAACTTTACTCAGAAGTAAATGCCACTGTTTTCATAAGCATAGGATTGCAAATTAAGGGTAAATAATGTGTAGCTGTGCACTGTGAAACATGGATATTTGTTAATGGCTTTCTATAGACAATAGCAAAACTGCAGGTTATCAGATTCCCCAAGAACCATTCATTCAGCCATAGGCAGCCTCTCCTCTGGGTGGGGGTGTCTCATCCCAAAATTTGCAGGTGAGGTACCCTCCCACTCAACTTGTGAGCTGCCCCTTCTTTTATCTCTCCCCCCCCCCGCCAATAGATCACACCATATTTAGCTAGGAATTGTGCTGAATGCTTGAACTGGAAATTAATTTTGCAACTTTATTAAGTATTGCCCCAAGTATGAGCCAAGCAAAACAACCCTTCAGTGTTCAGCTCACTTTTAAATGTTAAGCAGCTCGTATTTCGAGCCTTATCCTGAGGTTGTAGGATGAGACACCCACACAGAGAGATTATGGGCCACTGCTGTATATAATTAAGTCATCTTGGTGTCAGTCTTCCTAGCAAAATTTCTTCCTCCTCCCGCTCCCACTGGCACTGTGCACTGGGACTGAGGGAGTGAAATGAAATCAACACCAAGGAGCAATGAAGAGGGCAGAGGGTCGATCTTTAAACTTCCACTTCCCCGGTGAACCTATGCAGAATGCTCCAAGGCCTCCCCTCCTTACATTTTATTTTTGGGAATACTGGCATCAATAGCTTCATTCTCAGTCCACAGTTCAGTCTGTTCAGGATTTCAAACTTCAGGAGTGAAAGAGATCAAGGCATCCTGGGAAACCTTGGAACCAAAATGTGGGGATAGTGAACAGCCAGAAGGGAGGTTTATCAAGGCTGATCTTTCCAAGCATTCTGAGAAGTCATGTGGGGGGGGCTCATAAGTAGTTCTCCAAGACTTCTCTAAAAAGCTCTGGAAAGACCAGGGTCATTTCTGGACAAGATGGGGGGATTTTCTCATCTGGAGTTTTTCAACATACCAGAAAGGATGCTTCTTTTTCTCACTCAGATACAAAAAGCAGAGTAGAAATGCTGGACTCTTGAGGAGTTTGTTTGAGGGAGGCTGCTGGATTTTTTTTTAAAAAAAGTTTGTATTGTTTGTTTTTGTTGCTCTGACCAATCTGTGGGCTGGTTTGCAGAAGCTTGTAAGGCTAAACTCATTGTCACCTAAATATAATTATCACATTACTTTGTAGCAGTATTATTTGCAAAGAAAACTATATACTCATAGAAAATTCTGGTATGGTTTATATTTGTCATTGATTTCAGATCAGTTAGGAGAATCTTAATATAACAAACACAACAATATAATTATATAATAATATAGCAATATAAGATATACATTTGCATTCATTGGTTTTCGTGTCATGCAGAATCCTTTCATAATAGAAGGTATAAGTTGAGTTTGTTGATAGAAAGGAGCCCTCAGTTCAAATGTATGTAGGTGTTTTTTCTGACTATATAAATTTGACTTGTATTTTCAGGACAACCTTTAATTCAGGAGAACTCCAGCAGGCCACAAATAACACTTAACACCTTCTAACAGACTGCCTTCAGCATATCCAATGTATTAAATAAAGAAGCCAAAATAGTTACTGCTGAAATGCTTGAGAAAGCCCAGTTGCCAAGTCAATTATTCTTCTTACACAGCTTGGTGATCTGTACCGGATGGGAGATTAATCCATTCCAAATGAACTTCTAACCAGAGAACATGCAGATGTTCAGAAGCCATGCCGTCAGACAACACTCAGGTTTTCACAGATGTTTGTAAGTAAAAGAGGCCTACGGGTGAAAATGAGCAAGCTGGGAAGTATCAGCGTGTGACAGGCTACATTAAAAAGGTCAGAATGGAACAGAAAGCCAGAAACAAATGAACAGAGATCCCAAAGAAAAGCCCAGCCTTCTAGCTATTGCAGATGACAGTTCTAGTTCCAACTCAGACTGCCACAGGAACAAAGAAGTTAAAGCTCTGTTCCACTCTACTATGGTTCCGATCTTGATCATCCACACACGCACCGCCACCTATACTGACTATTGCTTAAAGGAAGAAAACAACAACAACCCTAGAACAGACACATTACAATCATCAGCACATTTAGGTTGGCCTTTACTGATAACTTCTCCTGGCTGGCAATTTATTCTTTTCTAATTGCTTTGTTCCTAATTCTTGGGCCAGAATCTTGCTTGGGGAATACCATATATGCAATGAGAATTGCACAAGTAATTTCTCTCCTTTGGTAAGCTTTTCTTTCGAAGACTAATTTTGCAACCATTGTGACTGATCAGCCTGCCTGCCGAAGAAAGGAACTGCTCACACAACTACTGTTGCATGCACAATTTTTCCAACGGGATTCTGGCATTGGGCTCAAATATATTCAGTCCTACCTACACAGACTCACTGAAAACAGTGGGACCTTAGTTGTGGCTAATAAATCCCAACTTTTCATTAGGTCTTCTTTCTATAGGAGTCATATAGGATTCAGTCCATTGTCTTTCTAGGAAGCTTTGATCATACAATTTCCCTGCTTCATTCATTGAATTTTACATGGGGTCCAGATCACATTGTCTTTCACATGTCTTACAATTTTTTCTGTCCTTATTTTCCCTATCACAAAAGCCAATTAAGCAACAGGAAGCAGAATAGTTACGGGTATCTCTGAACTGCTGACATGAAAAATTCATGAAAGATGTAATCTCTTGTTAAATGGGAGCCACAGGACAGAAGGAGGAAGTATTTAATTATGGAAAATCTCTCCCTGGCATTAATGTCTTTGGATAGCAGTGACTGAGGTCATTAAAGACTTCCTACTTTCCTCCCAGGGCACTAGTGCCTTCCACATGTAGAAAGAGATTATATGAGACAGAGGTTTTTTTATTTCCCTACCTATTATGTCATTACCCTTCCATAGGTGTAAATTATACAACAAGGTTTCGGCCAAATCCAGCAGAATTCAAAGGACAACAAATAATTCAGCGGTGCTCTGAAATCTTTAAAAGTCCATCACTATCTGTGCATCGATTTTGATGGAATATTCTGCTCATAGGTAGGCTGCCTTTTAAGACTGAAGCTGTTATTAGTATTGAAGCAATACAGGAAGCTGCCTTATACCACTAGCCCATATAACTCAGTATTGTCAACTCTGGTTAGAATGGCTTTTCAGGGTTTCTTTCTTGGTGTCCTTCCAATCAAGGATTAACTAGGCGTACCCTGCTTGTTGTTGTCATGTGCTGTCAAGTTGATTCCCACTTAGTGCATCCCTGTGAATTAAAGAGAGTGTAGTGGATAAAATGTTCGGCCAGCACCTGGGAGATCTGGGTTCAGATCCTCACTTAGCTATGGAATCCCAGTAGTAACAATGATCGTTGCTTCAGTATCTCACATACCTCAAAAACCCTGTTAGGGTCTTCATTAGTTGGAAGCAGTTTCATGGTATGTAACAACAACATGGATTTATAGCCTCCAGAAAGTCATGTTGCTAATAGGCCCGCTCAGGTCTTGCAGGCTAAAAGCCATGGCTCTGTTTAGTGAGTCAGTCTATGATTCAGTCTTCCACTTGTCCTACTACTTTTCTAGCATGATTGTATTATCCAGCAGGTCTTGTTTTGCCATGAAAGATTCACATTATAGTCGAACAGTTGACAAACAACATTGTAGTCATTTTAGCTTCACAGTCATGTTTTGCTTCTAAAACAAGGTAAGATTGGCCTGCTCAAAGTCTAATGGTGGATTGTGAGACTGTGCATTCTGAATTAACTGTATGTTGTATGCAAAGGTGTTGCAGAGCATTCTCAGTCTGTGCCCCAGCTCTTTAAGCCACAGGAAATAAGTGTTGGTATTATCTAGTTCCTGGTATCTTCCAGACTGTGGCTCTAAACACATTAACTAGGTTGTAGGTCTTTGAGAATACATTGGATCTTATTTCTTGTAAATGTGCATAGTATTGTGCTGTTAGTGTTTTTTTCATTGCTACAATTTAGGTACTTAAATGCATACTTGAAAAAGTGCATCAGCATCCGTTCCATCTTCTCTGATTCCCTCAATTTAAATTAGCTGTAGCTGTTAGATAGATCCAGCAAAGCTTATGAATCAAAATTTTTATCTGGAATTCTAAATTGCATTACCATATATAGATGCATATTCATAGTTTTTCCCCATACTATGACAAGTACTTTGGCTTGTGCTAGCATGTGCGTCCCTTAACTTGCAGTGTGAGACGATCTGCATTCCTTGCATCTTACATATATCAAGAGTTCATAGTCAAACTGGGTGTTAAGAACACTGTTTTAAGAGTGTGCTTACAGCTGGCTCCTTTCTTTGGGGAAAACACCAGCTGTGGGAGCCATGTTCCAGATCAGGATTAAGAAACTGGGGCACCGAGTTATTTTTAACCCTTTCCCCTCTGCACTGCATTTCTGCTGTAAATTATTTTCACTGTCATACTCGTAGTGAGGCAAGATCTAGCACAAGAAGTTAAGAGTTTGTAAAGTAAAATCTGATCAAATAATACTGATCCGAGTTCATGAAAAGCTTATGAGTTTCACCATCGTTCAAGTCTAGGCTACAAATGCAGATGCTGAAGAAATACTGTATAAAGCTTTTATGTAAGCATCCAGGAACACAGACCAAAACAAGCAGTGCTGATAGTTCTAGATAGCTACAATATCAAAGTAGAAAATTTCCTGGAATTCCCCCATAGTCCTCGAGGGCAGGAAGGAAGAGTGAGCTTAGGTCTAGGTTGCACCCTTTGAACGGTTTGCATAAATGAGCACAAGGACTTGGGCTTTGCAGCTTTGCTCTTCCAGTCCCTTGCCTCAGTTGCCTCTCTAGAGCTGTGGCATTGTTCAGGCTGAGGTAGCTTTCTCTAAACACATGGGCAGAGTCTCCCGTGCCTGGCTCCTGTTCCAAGCCAATAAATTGGTGAAGGTAGACAACTTCTAGCATCTTCCTACATGTACTCTTTTTCCAGGAAAGGCAGTGACCCCTTTGCCTTCCCAGTTCTGCTCTAATATTCCCCTTGGCCCTGCCTCCTCCAGCTGTCTCTCCTGAAACTTCAGGGACTCCCTCCAACCAGTCTGATCCTGAGGAAACTTACCCTCCTCCCAGCTGCCCGCTCACTGTGTGCTGGGGCCAGACAGCTCACTAGAGATGTGTGCCTGCGCCCCCTCACAGTGGGGAACACTTAAAAAAAATTCTGAGAACCTAATTCAGTTCCAGGGGATTTGGGGTGATTGGGGAGTACTGCATTCCACTGGTGGATGGGAACAATGGCAAAAGGGTGGAAGCCAAAAATACTGTCATATTTTAGCTGAAAGCTCTTACTATCGGTGATTGAAGGTCAGAGCACATGTTAAGACTTATGCCCATTCCCTCCTCTTAATAAAGTTATCCAGACATGCATATCCCTCACTATAACATGCCTGAGACATTAAACACACAAACAAAGGCACACAAACTCCCCGTTTATCATTCTCAAAACAAAAGCAAAGCCGTTTGCCAAATGTGGATTGAGGCCATCTTGTATCAAAATAAATAGAAAGTATTTTCCTCTTCAGGGAGCACTACTTCTAAATATAGAACCCGTGTTTAACCGAAAAGCCAGTTTCGGACCCTGAGAGAGATGGATTCAACACCATGGCTTACCTCCATATCTCATATAGTAAATGTGTTTTAAGACTGTGCGGTGAGAATTAATCTATGGGCCTGGGCATTTACTGTACTCAAAACACAGCAATTTGTTCACATGGCATCTCAATGAAGTTTTTAGCAAAAGGATTTTAGCAAAAGAAAGTGTTCTCTCTCACTTCCTGGCATAAACAAAAGAGCTGCTTTGCTCTCAGCAGCATAATCGCTGAAGCCCCTGGGACATATATCTTTAGAGGATTGTTTATTTTATTCCAAATTCCTCCACAGTTTATTATTTCTTTGACTGTATGTCTAACCTTCTGTTCCAACATAACTGCATATTTAACATTCAGATCTGCCCTTTGTACTTGGGAGAAAACTCCATCCCAAACTCTTATATTAGGTTACTGGGGGCCAGGAGGGAGGGGTGGGGAGAGCTTCAGAGCAAAGGCTGCCTCTTTGAACACCCCTCATCATCCTTACACATGCAGTGTGATGAGTTTAAACAACTAGCCAGGTATACAGTACAAAGGAAAGGAGTCTCAGTGAATGTGATCTAGATTACAGTATCTCCATGTAGCAAAGCATGTTAATGAAAATCGTTACTGCTTTAGTTTTACATACACATACATATATGTTGTTGTCATTGTACTCTATAGCTATTAGGATTCTTAGCCATGTACTGGGAAAAGGCTTCTTATTTCTTAGAATGTTCTTTATCTGTGAAAAATGCTGGTTTTCATCCTAACAACTGAGTCAGGAATAGAACTTCAGTCTGGATCTATATTTTAAAACATTTGACTGTTTTCTGTCCCACTACTGTGCATGTAATAGCACAATATTGACAATATGCTTAGACTGTAGTCACTGTACTGCTGTAATCACTTGGGGATGTTTTTTATTTAAAGAAGAATAAACATGAAATGCTTCAATGCACCAAGATGTGCCTTATTATAAATGACAGCTATGCTTCTATTTTTGCAGTTTCAAAAGGATTTTAAGGAGATTGGTTCCTGCCTCCTTAAGAATGAAACCTGCAGCGTGTGCATGCAAGCAAAGGTAAAATGAGGAATCGCCGCCGTATCCAGCGCAGGGGGCCCTGCATAATCTACAATGAGGATAACAGCATCATTAACGCTTTCAGGAATATTCCAGGAATTACTCTTCTCGTTGTCAACAAATTGAACCTTTTGAGACTTGCTCCTGGTGGCCATGTTGGACGCTTCTGCATTTGGACTGAAAGTGCTTTCCACAAGTTGGATGACTTGTATGGCACTTGGCGTAAACCAGCCACTCTGAAAAGTGACTACAACCTACCAATGCACAAGATGACTAATACAGATCTTGGAAGAATCCTGAAAAGTCAAGAAATCCAGAAAGCCCTGTGTCCACCAAAGAAGAAGATTCACCGCAGAGTTCTTAAGAAGAATCCACTGAAGAATTTGAGAGTTATGATTAAACTGAATCCATATGCCAAGACTATGAGACGCAACATCGTTCTGCGTCATGCTAAAAATCACAAGCTCAGAGAAGAGAAAGCAGCAAAGGGGAAAGCAAAGGTTCAGGCTGCAGCTGCAAAGACTAAAAGTACAGCATAAACATGGCAGTTTTTTGCACTTTGCCTGTTTCAGTACTGAAAAGGGCTGTACCGTGAATTACAGTTAATAAAAATCTAAAGATCTATTTACAAAACGAAAAAAAAAGAAAGAAAAAGAATGAAACCTTAAACAGCTTGTTCGTTAGTGTCTATTCTGATGCCTGAGACTATTCCAGAGTTAACCCATCTCAGGGCTCTAGATGTTTAATGCAAATATAGGAGAGAGGGAAGGGGAAAGTTAGGATGAAGGCTGTGTGGCAGAAATTAAAAAAAAAACACCACTAATCTGCAACCTTTGGGGAAATCCAGTAATGTTTCCCATTTCCAGCATTTCATGTGGTAAAATTTACAAAATGCCTGCAGAGCCTGAAATATGAAAGAAAAGAAAATTGCTCTGTTTCTTTGTACAATATAATAATACTGTTTCTACGTTTCTTTACTTATGATGTGCATGGGCAGATTGGCTTTCTGGTGTACTTCAGTTCCTCCTTCATGCCTGCAGGTGCTGTGTGGAATATTTCAGAGAACAGATCTTGTGAGTGTGAAGATGGAATGGGGATGTTTCATAATCAATAAACAATAAACAGGGCAGAGTGGCATAAAAGAAAAATGCTGTGCTATCTGTCAGACTGCAGGTTTTGAATTAAATCGTTTAAACTGTTTATTAACACGTTTGTCGAAGTGGCTGCATTGATTGTATTCTAAGAACTGCTGATGTAAGTTACGTCAGAAATATTTTAAGAGATAAGTAATAAACAAATAGGTAGCACTTAGCTGGTGAGAACTGTTGGCAGGTTGACATCAGAGACAGAGAGAGAAAGGTATATGAGTGTGTTAATGCCTAGAAATCCATCCAATTATTGTACCGTGAATTACAAAGGTAAAGGTTCCCCTTGACAAATTTTTGTCCAGTCGTGTTCGACTCTAGGGGGTGGTGCTCATCCCCGTTTCCAAGCCATAGAGACAGCATTTTGTCCAAAGACAATCTTCCATGGTCACATGGCCAGTGCGACTTAGACACGGAACGCTGTTACCTTCCCACCAAGGTGGCCCCTATTTATCTACTTGCATTTGCATGCTTTCGAACTGCTAGGTTGGCAGGAGCTGGGACAAGCGACGGGCGCTCACTCCGTCGCGTGGATTCAATCTTACGACTGCTGGTCTTCTGACCCTGCAGCACAGGCTTCTGCAGTTTAGCCCGCAGCGCCACCACGTCCCCACCACTCCTGGATTGCTATTTTGGTATACATTATGTATACAGTTTTAAATTATACTAGGCTTTTAAAAATGTCTCTCTTTTTTTGGTGTATATACCTACCTCAAGATCTTTGGATATAAGGTGGGATATAAATGAGTACATTAAAAAAAATGAAAATATTCTACACACCATTCTAATGTATTTCATTTTATTGAATTCATCATATATCAAAACACAGCCACAGCACTTCCATATATACATACAGTATTTAATTCATACCTAATATCATTTCCTCAACTTTCTCTGCTGAATGCTATGAAATTCTGGTTAGAAATGTTTAATACTGTGAAGCACTTTACACTTTTGAATCAAAACAGTTAAAACTTAAATAGCAATAAAAAGAGAACATTTTTTATATTGCTACAGTACATAACAGGATATTTGCATCCCTTGATATAAGGTATATAACTCTAAGAAATAAAATGCTGTTTGGCTACGCACATTTTGACATTTAATTATACAATATATTACATACATGTAGTTTATTGGCAGTGAAAGACGTTCAGGAAGCAGTAAGTGGCATATTCTGTATACTGGCACAGGAAATAGCAGATAACTGTATCTGTAGAGCAATCCTATGTAGATTTATTCAGCAGTAAGATTTATTCAGAATTAGGTTCCACTGATTTCAGCAGCAATTACTACCAGGGCCATCTGCATAGAACTGCAATCTAACCTAGCCTCGTTACAGCCCGTTAACATCTTCCATCACCCCCATGACCACAATGTTCATTATAATCTGGAGATGAAAAATGAAATGGAGGAAACATTATAAAGAGAAAGTGTAGACTAGGTAAAAATATGTTGTTTTCAGGACAACATAATATTTCTAGACACCCTACACAACTTTGGCCTTGATCTATGGAAGTGACTGAACAGAAGGCAACCCTGGACCAAATCCTAAGTGAGATTCCAGGACCTAATACAAGATGTGCTCATTGACTACAAAACTATTAAGCTGAGTTTCTAAGTGGAAAATCCCCAACAATGTTGAACACAGTAGCATGTGACTTCAAAATAAGTTTATTTTTTAAAAATTGCACTTGTTGGGGAAAAAAATGGAAAGAAATTGAGAGGGCCAAATTTCTCCAGAATAACTGGGTTGTTAAAGCTACAATGACAGGAACTCAACTTGAAGAAAAGGTCCCACCAAGTCCAAGAGGTGCAGGCATGGTTAATAAGCAATCTCAAGAAAGCAGTTAGAGAAAACAAGCCTTTCTTTAAATAAAAATAAAAATGAAAGTAGTGACCAAATGAAAGTAAAAAGGAACACATGTCAACCAAAAGGGGTAGGAGGACGGTGCAATAAGCAATGCAAGAAAGGATTTTCAGGAACCTATCACTGATGACATTAAGACCCATGGTAAAATAATAGCAATTTGCTAAAGATGTGATTGAACAGTTCAGTTACTGAGGAATGTTAAAGGAAAGCAGTGAAAAGACAAACTGAACAAATCCTTTTTTAAAGACATAAAATTTTAGTTGAATACATAGTTGCATCTAACTTTACTAGAAGGGATGTAGTACAAGCATCCTTTCCAAGTAACCTGTTCAAGAACAGAATCTGAGACAAATAGTGGTGTCCTAAGATAAAAATTTAGGTCTCGTGGACAAACAGAAACCAGTAAATCATTTGTTTCAGAGAATTTCATTAAAGAATTTAAAAAGAACTCAGATGTATTATTGCTGAAACTGAAAGTGTTAACAAGCCTGTGTAACAGATTACAAAGCATCCTTTCCAAGTAACCTGTTCAAGAACAGAATCTGAGACAAATAGTGGTGTCCTAAGATAAAAATTTAGGTCTCGTGGACAAACAGAAACCAGTAAATCATTTGTTTCAGAGAATTTCATTAAAGAATTTAAAAAGAACTCAGATGTGTTGTTGCTGAAACTGAAAGTGTTAACAAGCCCGTGTAACAGATTACATGTAGTTTGCATAAATTTTCTTTTGACAATGTCCCTCTTCAAGTCAAAAAGTCTGTAAGTCAAGTCTCCATTGACCTACAGTGCATTGAAAACTGATTAATCCCGTAACAGGCCGTTTTTGTTCCATTTTGGTTTTTTTCCTGGTCTGTAAGTCAAATCTCAGTCTGCAAGTCAAACCTAAATTTTGCGGCCAGAGAAGTCTGTAACTCAAAAAGTCTGTAAGTCAAGCCGTCTGTAAATCAAGGGTCCACTGTAGTTTGCATACATTTTTTTTACAATGTCCCTCCCTCTCTTCTTGACTCCTGAGTAAATTTAGGAGCCAAGAAGAGTCTCTTACAGATTAGTAAGTGGTTATAGACTAGAGGGCAGAAAGTATAATAGATCTTTCTTACAAAGGAGAGGTGTAAAGACTGGAGCCTTCCAAGCATCTCTGTTGAGACTAGCACTTTTTAAACTATTTACCAGTGATCTTGATTTTAGTAGTCAGCAGTACAGTAGTGGTGTTTGCAAATAAATCAATTTGCTTAGAGTATTTAAACAACAAGGATGTCTCCCATCTGGGAGAACAGAATATAAAAATGTCAAAAGTGGTTCTCCTGAAGGTAGTGTGAAGTAAGTAATTCACTCTGGGACCCAGAGGTGGGGAGTACTAACTTAACATTTTTGTTGATGGGGTCTGTCTGAGCTGATGTGCAAGGAAGAGAACTTGAGGTTGTTGTGGTGCAAAGATTAGTGAAAATATCCACAAAATGTACAGATGCTGTGGAAAAAGTAAATTTCATGTTGAAGACCATTAGGAAAGAAACTGAAAATAAAACTGCCAATATTATAAGGTCTTTATAGAAAACTATCCTGAACCTATAAAATATCTTGCATGGTCTCATTCATTGCACTTTTAAAAGGGGGTGGGGTATGCTGGATATGAAGAAATACATAACAGGAGAAAGAGATCAAGTGGCTGAAGCAAATGTCCTGGAAAGAAAAGTTACAATTGTTGGGATATTTTTTTAGCCTACAAAAAAGGTTAAGTAGGTGAGGTTGTACAAAATCACAAAAAGAGCAGAATCCTGTTGAACAGTGATGGAGCATCATGCTCCACCTTCCATTGTACAAACAGAGACTGTGAAGTCTATAAAATATCTTGCATGGTCTCATTCATTGCACTTTTAAAAGGGGGTGGGGTATGCTGGATATGAAGAAATACATAACAGGAGAAAGAGATCAAGTGGCTGAAGCAAATGTCCTGGAAAGAAAAGTTACAATTGTTGGGATATTTTTTTAGCCTACAAAAAAGGTTAAGTAGGTGAGGTTGTACAAAATCACAAAAAGAGCAGAATCCTCTTGAACAGTGATGGAGCATCATGCTCCACCTTCCATTGTACAGAGACTGTGAAGCGCCCTTGTTGAAAACAAGAGAACTTGAACTTGTTTAAGAAGTTGTTGAGCATTTGCTTACACAGGGTTCTTACATGGTGACCCATTTGTACTGTGGGCTGCTGTGTGAGCCGGACAATGGAACAGGATTCTGCCCAAAATATAGAAAAGGTAGACAGTGAGAGATTATTTTCTATATTTTAAATGTACTCAACAAGGCCGAATGATAGATTTCTTATACCCAAAAGGAGACTGTGGAATTTGCCACTACAAGACAGAAATGGTCACCTACTTGGGCTCCTTTAGAAGGTTGTTACACAAATTCTTCTAAGATAAGGTTATTTATGGCCACTAGGCAGGATGGCTATGTATTATCTATCACATAAGATACAATGTGTCTCTGAATACCCATCACTGAACAGCCAACACACAACCAGAAAGATGCTTACATTTTGTTTATACTATATTTACATTTCATTTTTTAATGTTTTATATTGTGCTTATATTTTGCTTGTGGGTTTCCCACAGGCATCTATTTGACCAATGGGGGAAAAGAATGCTTGACTAGATAAGTATTTAGTCTAATTTTATCTACTTTTCAAGAAATGGTTTAATTTGAACAGATTTTGACCCAAATGATCAAACTGTGCAGGGAAGCAGAATGTTGCACACTTTAGGACTATTCTGACTGTTTTATGACTTCTTACTTATGTTTTGTAATTTAGTAAGAAAAGCCTATTATTCTGATCTATGGATGGTTTGGTTTGAATTCTTGGGGAGGGACTATATTATTTGGCCAGGAGCTGGGATGGGGTGGTTTAAAGTTCTTGGACAGAAATATCCTTGCTAGTTCAAGTTTCAAATTTGTCAGTGTTTTACAATTCTTACGGGTTTTACCCTCTCAACCAGTTTCCACAACTGAGTGATACAAGCACAGAAAAAAATACCAACCAAAGCCATGTTTCATGCAGATGCATGAGCTGTCACACATGTATGCTAAGGTGACAAGGCTGGGTCTAGACCTTCAGTGCATTGCGCATGCATGTGAGTATCATTTACTGTGAAAGCACAATGCACTACTATATGAAAAACGACCACATAACAATAAGTGCACAGAAGTACAATTCTAAACAGAACAGAGTTAAGATAAACTGTACTTCAGATTAATGCAAAATGATGTAATGGATTACATTAATTTTCTGTGAATTATGTTTAAACATTTGTTATAAAAATTTAACAGTTGTAATAATGGATTATAAATGGAAAGTAGTACACATAATAAATCATAAAAATAGTGCATGACTCCTCAGGTGCAGGAATTTGTTTCCAGCAAACCAAACAGACCACAACAGAGCCGGAGGTCTCTCTATGGAATGACTATTAGTCATTTCATTCAAGGCCACCTTAAGCCACTAGTGCAGGATTTCTGGAACTATCCCAGCCTGATTAGGGCTTGGGTATCAGATTACATTTAATCTGTGATTCCCAAATACTGATCACCAGATGACAATGGACTACAGTTTTAAGAATCCCTAGCCAGTATGGCCAATGATCAGGAATTCTATAGGGACTTATGTTTGCAGACTAATGATCAAGACACAGAATTCTCAAAACATTATTTCAGTCTGCTGCATTTTCTCCTCTATCCAACACTGCTAGCTTGAAGATGGGACAGAAAAAGCCTGGTTCTCGCCTTCTCAACTCTTATGGAAAACTGGTCACAACAGAGATAAACAGTAATAAACAGTGTATGAGATAAGGCAGCCAACAGGTTCATAAACCGCTGGATAGCTCTGGTTGGGAGTTTGATTCCTCACTGTGCCTTCTTGACAAGGGTTGGACTTGATGATCCATAGCATCCTTTCTAGCTCTGCAGTTCTGAGATTAATATTATTTATTCCCCTCTGCTGCCCTTTTAGCTTTCTCTACTTATGGACGGGGATAGCCTTCAGAATTCTTAACAGGCAAAGCATTCACATGATGAGTGTAATAAGTTATCAAGCTCCTCTTTTTGAATAAGGAAGTAATGGTAACATGTGCTACCAAAAAGTTTTAACTGCTTCTTCCAAACCTCAGAAAGTGACAAAGAAAACTTCATTGTAATGGCAACTGATATTTTATGACTCCCATCACGGTGTGTGAATGTATTATTTGTATAAATGCTAAGTGGAGAGCTAAAGTTTACTTCTGTGTATCCAGATTACTCTAGAAAAGTCCCTTCCAGAACCTGTTTCCAGAGGCTGGGAGGGCTCGGGAAATGGAAAACATAAGCAGGGGCCCTAATAAAACTCACTGCTGGGAAAGAGACTGTCAACTGGATGGGGTTCCCTCAACCCTCTGTTGTTACATGATGTGTGACCAAAGCTTAGAAAGGTTTTGACTACAACTCCCAGAATGCCTGCTTGGGAGGTTCTGGAAGTCATACTCCAACCACATGGCCTTTCTAGGATCTACTTGTGATAATCTATCCTGAACCTGCTTGTACCATTCCCAAGCTGCTGATGACTGAATATGTTCCTTGTATAAAATAACAATAAAAATAGCATGTTTTGTAAATTTTAATACTGGCTTTCAGGTGTTAACAAGCTAAAGTGCTGCCATGTTTTCTTTTTATTTTAATTTTTAGTTCGTACAAAATTCTGAATATCAATATATTATGTTTTAGAATGCATGAAAGCACAATTTAGTCTACGCCAGTCGGTGTCCCCAAGAAATTTGTATTTCCATCTTCAGTATCTTCCTTCTGAAACCAGGGCTCTGAATGTGGTCCTTGATGATAAGCATCCAGAAAATAACAGATCCCAGGAATATCACTTGGAAAGTTAGGTGGAAGGTCCTGTCTTGAACGAGGAGTAAACACAAAGCCTGGGCAGTCCTTTAGCAACCTGCAACAAAAATTAAATACCGTAATGAAATGTAGTCTATAAATACTAAATATCATGTAAAAGTAATTGTCTAAATTATAGGAACACATATTTGTTGCCATATGCATGGATGGGCAATTGTTTTATTCTGCATTAACCACTACATTGCTAACATCTGCAAGGGGCTCCAAAGCCATATAATTTATTGTGATTAAACACAGGGGAGCTTCTGCACAAATGTTCCTTTTAATATCCACACAGGTCTGTCACAACGGAAAGGTCTTTGTAGGCATGTGCATCATATGTTTTTATGTGCCTCAAATCATTGGTGACAAAATAAAAACAAGGACATTCCTAAGTTTGCTTAGCTATGAGTGAAATTCTATTTTGATTCCTGAAATCATATGCATGATGACATGTCATATTATCTGCCACCAGAGCAGAAAATGATTAATACATACATTGTGAGCATCTGGTCCAATACTTTCTCGAATCAAAAGGCTTCTGTAAGTGATAATCAGAAAACTGATATTTTATCTAAGAAAGAATAACACAGAATGATTGAAAGCCTGTTGCTTAACATTGTAATCTGTACTAGAATAGGCCCACTAAATTAGTAGGGATTTGGTGAGTCAATTCCTCCCTAAATTCCATTTGATACAACAGACCTACTCTAGTTGCACCTACTTTAGTAAGTCACAACAAGAATAGGTCCACTGAATCAAATGGAACTTACCAATGAGTTGGCATACAATCTCCACTGATTCAGTGGGTCTCTTATGCAGCTTACTATGCTAAGCATAGGATTTCAACTAATATGTATTTTAACAGTAGTGCATTCACAGTGCATCATCAGAGTTTTGTAAAGGAATAAGTTATTTATTTATTTATTTATTTAT